CATTGTCATCATCATCTTTCTCACTGACTTCAGTTTCTGAAGAGTCAGAAATATCTTCATGAGTATTTAGATCTGGATTTCTTGTTGTTTCTGCTCCTTCACAACACTCTCCACCAGTTGCTGATTTCAGGTTGTCAGCYGAGCTGCTGGTTGGATGATCTCTGAAGTCAATTTGGTGTTGATGAAGTTGTAAGAACAGGCATTTATCTTCATCATCCTCATGCTTCAAATATCCTGCAGTGAATGAAAAGCNTCCAGATCCGGACGGAGGATGAAGTTTAGTAAAAAGATTTATTTTTACAAAATAAACAGCTGACAGGGCAGCAAAGGAAAATAAAAACATGAGGAGGCATGAGGAACACGAGGACAACCAAACAGTAGGTAAAAACATGTAATGAACCAGCGAGGAATGAAGAGAAGAAAGAGGTATTTTTACAGACTGATGACAAGGGAAGATGAACAGCAGCTGAGAGAGAGACTAATGATAAAGTACTGACAGGTGTGTGAATGTCACAGCTTTTAACTACTTTCTTACAATCTGTTAGTTTTCCCGTCACACAATCACAATGAAGAGTGGAGAATATAATTGGTTTAAAAGTGAAATTCACATTTATTTGTAAAAAAACAACAATTAAGAAAAACCTAGGTAAAAATTGAATAAAACAATCTCTGAAAGAGAAAAATCTGCAAAAGGAAGAAACAGGTTATCCAAAAACAACAGTCCAAGTCTCCAATCCCCACAGCTCAGTTCAGTTCATCTCATGCTTTTCATTTAAAGTCTGTCACCACACCAGCAGGGGAAGATCACCACGCAGTCCTGGCAGGAAACTGTTCCATCCASCTATCCACCTGTATGGAGGCCAGCTGCTAGATCTCCACTCCAATGAACCCAGTTATGGTTGATCCTTTCAGAGCCTGCACGTTCCAGCTGCACACCCACGTCCTGTGCTCTCACTTGTGCTCTRCAAAACAGTAGTAGGAACTAAGGAGCCGACCAATCATACCCAAAATGGGCTAATGTGCCCAGGAGGATAATAATTACCTTCCTTTAGTTGAACAATTGTGAGCGTTGAATCAAAGACCACACCAAGCTGCCTCGCTGCAGGGTTGACAGGTTGACCACAGGTTTGGAGGAGCTGAGCAGTGGGATGGGTCCTCTCCTTCTCTTCCAACTCCCCCACCTGGTTTTAATTGTCCAGCTTAAGAGGGCATGGGACTCATTCTCTCAGCCAATGAGAATCCAGCAATTCAGTTCAGGGAGAAGAAGCAATTACCAGCAGATTATCATGATGAGTTGAGTGAAAGAAAAACATGCTCAATCCAAAACACCAAATGTAAAATAAAGAACCCAAAATACAAAAAAGATAAAATACAATCCAAAACAATCATCAGATAAACTTTGCAATGGTCTGTGACACGAATACTGAGGAGGGAAACAACTGAGGACAAATGATGAGTAATGATGCAGGGAAGAAACAAGAAGGAGACTACARACAAAACACAATCCCAACACATGTCAACTGATCTGCGGCCATATGTTTTGGACACAACTGAAAAGAGGAGATGAGCTGTCAACTGATCACCTGGAAGTGGGTGACCTGGTTAACCCAAACATATAGTGAAGGTTTGCTGG